GGAAAATGATGACAAATAGCCTGAAGGTCTATGTGCAGTGCTGTTTTAGGAAGCTGAATTAAGATTTAAATAAACTCCACCTGTTTTGGGGTCAGTGCAGCCTTAACTGAGTATGTGAATAACAAGCTACAATAGATTTGTGGAGAAAATTCCATATACGGCCTCAGGAGTCAGGGAGCAGAGAGGTCAGGTCAGGCTGGTGCTGTATGTCTGGTTCACAGGGCAGAAAATGGTTAAATTACCACAAAGGGACTTTCTCTACCAGAAAATTGGATGGATTCTTTCCCTTTTGTGGCATTTTACTAAGCTTTCTAGCACTCAAGATGATAATGTCTGATGATTTGCTGGTACCTGTCTAGTGAGAAGGCTCAGCAGAAACCTGTCATCTCTGATGATTTTCTCCTTATCTTCATTCTCCTCCTCTGGGTGAAAGTTTCATGAGCTTTTTCCACCTGCAGCGAGACAGGCTGTGGTGGAGGGACACGCACTCCCATTCTGTTGCTCCCAAGCAGTGCTTCGAATAAAAACTGAAATTTAGCAAGAACTTAGTGCAGCATCCTGGTGAGTGGAGTTTGTAAGTTGATTGGAGACCGGGAGTGAAATGCTTAAACAGTAGATTTATGAGTCTTTTTTTTTGTTTTGTTTAATGAAAATATCTTAAGAGAAAAGTGAGCATAAATAGAAATGGAGAGATGTGTTGTAAATTCCTCTGGGATAGAGCAGTGGACAGATCGTCTTCAGTTCTGCAAACAGAACAGGTTGGTATTAAGATTTCATTTCATGTGAATGATAATCCAAAAACAATTTCTGAAGAAGAGCTTTAAAACACAAATCCTGCTCAGCCAGATTCTAAAATACAGTTGATTATAGCATGGACTGGAAACACGGAATAGAAGAAAAAAATACAAAACTATTTTTAATCATTTAGATAAATGATATTTCTTTTTGCTAAATACAACATTTGCAGTTGTTTGCTTTTTTTTTTTTTTTTCCCCTGAGTGAACGAATCCAGATTTTTTTCACTTGGACGTAGTTTTATTTTTAAAGACGGCTTCCAGAAATGCGTGTGGGATTGCAGTTGGGACCAGTGGAGAGCTGTGGCACTCTGCCAGGCGCTTGCCCTGTCCCTGCAATAGAGATGGATTGCCAGAGCTCTGGAGAAAAACAACCCCAAAACTTTAAACAAATTATGCTTAATGGAAATAAACTTTTTTTGCCCTCGTGTGTAACGATTTGGATAGTGCGCTGGCTGTGTGTTTCTGGAGGACAGAGGAAGGGCGAAGGGGAGAGGAGGGCAGAGATGGAGCTCTGCGTGCCTGTAACTCGCTCTCCAGTGGATGCTCTGGGAAGCTTAAGAGGGGACTGTGACATTTCTAAGATTGGAGCGTTTTTTAACTCCCAGACAGTCTTTCTATGAGAAGGTGAGCAGGCTAGCTCCAGCCAGCTATGATAACTGCATTTATCTAGCGGTTGTTTTCTTCCATATATGGATTTGTATGACCTGGAAAGGCATATGCCTTGTATCTGGCATTTTCTGTGCACAGCTTTGACACTGTCTTCCATGTCATTCACCTGAGTTTTGCTGGGTTGTGGTGGTAAGTGACAAATACCATGAAACAAGCACCTGGTTGTTGAGTTGTTGGTTTGGTTTTTCTTAATATAAAGAAGGGCAAACAGAGCAGGCTATAGCCTACTTCACAGGAGAAAAGGCACCGTAGCCATATCTCCCTGTTTTTTCAAGCTGGTGCTGATAAATCTTTTCTCTCACTTCTGTTGCTATGGTGTTAGTTCTGTACAAAAACAAACCTTTGGGTGATCATGTCAAACGCGAAGATCGTTTGGAGAGACAGATGCTGAAAGAGAAGGGAAGTAGGAGGGCTCAGATTCCAGCTGATGACAAACAATGAATCAGTGTTTGTCTCAGCAGAGGGCTATCAGAAATTTTGCACTCTACTTTCACTGACTTCTGCTTGGGTCTGATAATCCACGTGAAAAGGCTTCTTTTTTCCCCCCTCAAATATTTTTTTCTTCTTTTTCTTCTGCTTTTACTTTTTTTCTTCTTAGTGTATAAAAGGAAGGTGGATCTCTTCCAAATTCTGCACAGCTCAGGAATATTTGCTTTCCATAGCACAGCCCAGAACACAGAGGACTTATTCTTGCAAATTGCTTGATCCTCCAATCCACAAAATACTGGATCAAATTTTGAAGGTTTGTGTGGTTGAAACGTACCTGCTGTCCTCATTGAGCCAATTGAAGTGGTCACTGAACTTCCTACTGGAGGAGCTGCCTTAGTGTGCTGCCATTTCTAGCATTACTTTCCTGGTGGAAGGGAAGCAGAGCACTGTTATCAGGGGCCCTTTTTGACACTTTCTGATGCACAAAGTAGGTGCATTTGGTTTCATTGTCAAAATATGCCAGTTGCTTTTAGCTGGCACAACTGTTGTGAAGAAGTTATCTTGCCCAGATATCTTATGCTTCTGCAAAACACTGTGCTGAAAATGCCTGGATATGCCTTGAAGGCTTATTTCTATTCTTGGGTCAAGGCTGAAAGGGAGGACTGTTTTCTTGTTTTCTGAATGTTTCTGTGCAGATTGCACTGCAAGTGCAGGGAGAATGTAGAAGGGTAACCAATCTCAAATACTTACTTGCTTCTCGCTGTTTTTCAAACTGGAAGTCCTGAAAATTGATTAATGCACATTTTTGTACCTTGGCAACTGGGGACTTTCTGACCTAGTTAAATGGACTCTTTGTTTTGCTGTTTACTTCCAGATGTGATAGGCAGATGAAAAAATCTCAGGAAAAACAGTGTGGTTATTTGAGATATCTTTTAGGGATATTAACTGATTTTTCTGGAGCTTGATTGGAGAAGTAGATCATCTCCTTCTATATCCTTAGCCAAACTGCAGTTCACTTTGTTTTGCCTTAATTTTGCAGATGCTTACACTGTCCCATAACCTTCATGCTGCACTACTTGTGGGAGCAGTAATGTAAGTGTCAGGACAGCCAGACTTTCTGTGGACTGCCTCACCCAACCACAGCTTACCGAGCATCCACATCAAGTCTGTCTTGTTTGTCTTTACTCTTACATGGTCTTCGCATGTAGAGAGTCTGCTGCCCACCTGTGAACAGTGTCTCCGTTAGTCTCTTTGGAAGATAGGTGCACAATGTATTTTCCAGTTGTATTAGAATCTATGTAAATACTTCAAAGGTACTACTGGAGCCTCAACCTGTAACTGTTAGTAGAAGCATATAGTGTTGTGCAAGCAAAGGTGGTCTCTGTTTGGGAAGAGTTGGCAGTCTTTTGGTTTGCTTTTGTGCTGTAGCTAACTTCAGTTATTCTGCTCAAGTAAGTCTAGCCCAGATAAGAGGGCCTACAGAAGAAAAGCAATTTGGCTACGTGGATCAGTTAGATTAACAACTAGAAAATTATTAGAAAGCTGCTAGATCTCTGCTCCTTTTAGTTTTATTGGTTCTTGAGGTCCAGCCACCCTGTCTTATCGTTACCTTCCTTGAGGCACTCTTTAATTCAAAGCAGGGACATTTCTGTAGGGTGGGAAATTTTATTAGGACAAAACTCAAGCTAATGAGACAGTGAAGACAAGACTTCTATTGAAACAGAGCATCAGCAGCCTCTCTGCCCAGCTCTTCTCTCCCTTCTGTGCCCCCCACCCCTTTCTCTGCTACCGTTGAGTAAAAGGGGTAGCAGCAATGGAGAGGAGCATGCATGTCGCTATAAAAACAGATGCTAACTTTGGTTTACTGAGCACACATCTGTCTTTAGTTTCAAAGATGTTCCCAGTTTGAAGTTTACAAGGTTAAGTTGCTGCTGACGCAGTAGATCTCACAATTGGTTGAAGGGCAGTGCTTGATATCGTGGCAGCTTTTATGCTCGCAGCAGCCTGGTGTGTTGGCTAGAACATAAGCCAATTCTAGTGCTTATACTGTACAGATGTTCAAGTCTGGTAAGTAGCTTCATGGGATCATTAAGTTTGGTAGAGGTCCATAGTACATCACCTTGATCAAAGCAGACTCAGCATTAAATCCAGACTAAGTTGTTTAGGGCTTTGTCCAGTCAGATCTTGAAAACTTTGAAGGATATAGATCCTGCATCCTCTGTGGGACTCTTCGCTGCAACCAGACTGTCCTAATGGTGGAATTTTTTTCCTGATTTAATTGGAATCTCCACAGTTTTGACTTGGCCTGATAAATCTAAACCCTTACAACAGTTCTCTTGGTACCCTTGCATGCATCCCATCAGGTCCAGTAGCCTTCTTTGCATTAAGATTTCTACATGAGATCCCTAACTCAATCCTTTTCCAGTACAGGTGGTTCCTCTGCTCCTTGAAGCCTGTCGTGGTGCTGGGAAACTATCACACGTATCGCCACCACTTTCATGCCTTCCCATGCTGTCTGGAGCAGAGTTTCTGCACACCCCACCCCAAATCTGTCCCCTGTCCAGCTAACTGCCAAAGTTTGCTAGTGGGGGTGCTCTGGGAGCTGCACTCCTCCTTAGCAGCGGAATAGCTCTCCCTGCAGCAGATGAATTTGCAGAGATCCCGAGTCACTTGCTTTTGTGTTACCTGTATTGCCGTCCTGGGTGCTGTTTTGTGCAATCCAAAGGACGAAGGGCACAGCAGGTGTTCATTTTATTAGTGGTGATAATCTTTGTTGGCTCATTCCTTTTGCATTTATCTGTAAGTACTGGGAGAGAGAGCTGAAAAGAAGCATGGGAAGGTGTTTGGATGAAGGGTGCTTGCCAATGACTTCACTGCTTTTTTCATGGAATTTGATCTACACTGCTGAGAAATAAATGTCCAAGTAAAGTTTTCTGACATTCAGTGAAATGTAATTTCTCAGGGATTTCAGTGATACACCCAAATTAAGGCAGCATCTGAAGTAAATGCCTTCTACTACATGGCAGCAACGCCTTGGACAGTGACAGGGACAAGAACCTCAGATCCCCCATATATTAATAAAAGGTTTCTCTCTGGTTTCTTCAGCTTGACCTCACCAAACCCATTGAAGATCAGGGCCCATTGGATGTGATCATACATAAACTGACAGATGTCATCCTTGAAGCAGACCAGAATGACAGCCAGTCACTGGAGTTGGTTCACAGGTTCCAGGTAAGTGGTTCTTTCATAGTCCTTCTGCATTTCAAGCAGGAGGATGACCTTGGTACAGCAAATTCAAACGGTTTTCTGTGCAGTTGGTAGGGTTTGAAAAGAGCTCCCTGGCACACTGCTGCCCTGCTACTGATATCCCAGCAAAAATAGTCTTGTCGGTCTAAAATGGACTTGCACATTTGGTTAGGTTTTATGTTGTACTGGTAAGGTTAGTAAGAACTGATTTCCCAGAAAATGTTGTCCTGATGTCATTCCAAGAGTATGAGTGCTGTTCAGAAAGAGGAACAGGTGTTTGCAGAGTCCTTTGCATGCATCTCTCCATGACAGAAGCCACTAAATTAATTTGGCCCAGTTCTGTCTAGTCTTCCCAGTTCCTGTAATGCTAATTTCTAAAACATCAAGGTTACTATGAGTGATTCTGTCCTCTAGTGCTGAAAATCCTGTTCTATTAATTTTTTTTCCTCAAGTTTACATTGAAGGTCAGAACTGTGCATGGCATAGAGGTACGGACAACTGTTTTCCAAAGAATTCCTATCAGTAGTCTGATGATGAAATGATAAAGCAACATCTTTATCTCAGGCTGAAGATCCCTGATTTACAGAGACAGTATTATAATCTTCACTAGTGCTGGCAAATTTCACTTAAGCTGCCTTATTTCAGAGCAGCTGAGAAGTAGTTGTATTCAAATCTCGCACACCGTGGTACGTGGCACTGGGACCCCTCTGGTTAGATGCCTGTCAGCAGCTGCCACCTATTCATATACGTGCCTCCTTGTCGTTCCTGTGTCGCTCACCTGTCAGGTTGTGTCCTTGATCAAAGTTTGGAGGCAGTGCATAGAGCTTTGGGTTCACTGCAATTGCTCTTTTCCAAGATGTGATTGTCCTTGTTCTGCAGTGAATTTACTGAAACATTCCCACGTCTCACAGGCTGATTAACTCCTCCCGTGTTAAAACTGTTGCAATCAGTTTTAAATCATAGTCTTAATAAAAGCTAAGCAACCAAACTCTTACTGCCCTGAAATCCTACTTTCTCTATTAGAGTATAGCCTTGTGAGCAAGTTCAATGATTCAGCCTTGCCTCTCCTCTCCATCCCATTAGAAATAATAAATCAAGAGTGTCACTATACTCAAGGTGATCCTCTGTTAAAGGAGGCTGCGTAACAGCATCCACATGCTGTGTTGTTTCTTAGGACTGTGCTGCAGCTCTTGCTATCTTTGTTAGTCTTGGAAATCACAGAGATTTCTTTTTAGTGGCCTCTGAAGGAAACCAGTAAGAAACCTTCCCTTAAGATTTGGGGCAAACAAATCCTACTGCTCTCTGTGTTTCCTGACCCAGCTCTTCTCTCTCATACTGCTAAGTTAATCTGTGTTAACATCACCTCCCCTGTCTCCTGTGCCTGAGTTTTTTGTTGGTAGCATGGCCTTAATCTCTTACAGCATGTACAGTAATGGGTGAGCTGTTGGGTCATTGATTTCGACTGGGGCTATGCTTCCTGTGACATGCTAACTAATGTGGAGATGTGAGAACAGTCCTTGATCCCAGGGAGTCATGGAGAGTACTGACAGAGCTGTTTGATACAGTATGTCAAATCCTTTCTGTAGGATTTGCCTAGTTATAAATGTATTTAAATACCTGCACAGCACAAGAGCATTCAGTTACATTATTTTTGCAGACCTGTCTGCTGCCTTCTAAGAATAACAGAGAACAGAAGGAGAAACAAGTTGGTCTGGAACAGGTTTGGGTTACAGTCATGACACAGAAATAACTGTAATCCAGAGACAAGATAACAGGGTTGAAATTCAGTGTTCTGTCTGTTACCATTGCTGCTATTTTATTGCTGTAGAACGCTTATGTCTTTCTGTGCCTCAGCTTACCACCACCTTTTCATAAATTGGTCTATATTTCTTAATAATGGACTTCATAGTTTTCCTGTAAATATCAGTATTCAAGCAAAAATTCTTGTGAATGGTTCTTGTGAAGCTAATTTCCAGTAATCTGGTGGAAAGTCGAAACATTTTTTTATTTTGATAATACTGGAAATTTGAATTGTGTGTGAAGTGTTGCAGAAAGCAAAGGTATTGTTCACACACCTGGAGCGTATCCTGCATGTAAGTGAGCACTCTTTAATTGTCTCCAGGTCTGTTAATCAATAAGCAATTGTATCACTAGAAAACCTCTCTCTACAGTAATGCATGCTCCCTATATATTTTTCAAGATCTTAAGTAGTAGAGGGAGATGGTGCATTAAAAAGAGCGTGGCCAGCAGGTCAAGGGAGGTTCTCCTTCCCCTCTACTCTGCCCTGGTGAGGCCACATCTGGAGTACTGCATCCAGTTCTGGGTTCCTCAGTTCAAAAGGGACAGGGATCTTCTGGAGAGAGTTCAGGAAAAGCCACAAAGGTGGTGAGGGGCCTGGAGCATCTGCCTTACGAGGAGAGGCTGAGAGAGCTGGGACTCTTCATCCTGGAGAAGAGAAGACTGAGAGGGGATCTTATCAATGTCTATAAATATCTGAAATGTGGGGGCCAGATGAATGGGGTCGGGCTCTTTTTGGTGGTGGCTGGTGACAGGACAAGGGGCAATGGGCACAAACTGGAACACTGAAAGTTCCAGACAAACTTAAGGAAAAACTTCTTTACTGTGAGGGTGCCAGAGCCCTGGGACAGGCTGCCCAGAGAGGTTGTGGAGTCTCCATCTCTGGAGATGTTCCAAAGCCACCTGGATGCTTTCCTGTGTAGCCTGTTGTAGGGAACCTGCTTTGGCAGGGAGGTTGGACTAGGTGATCTCCTGAAGTCCCTTCCAACCCTGACCATTCTGTGATTCTGTGATGGTAGTGAGGATAAGTTTCTGAGCAAGTCAGATGTGGAAGAAATAGCTCCCCGTCTCCTGACTTGATTGGTAAATACAGTTGAACTTGTTCAACTAACAATATGAACTGCATAAGAAGGAAATAAATTGGGTGAAAAGCACCTTGTGGATACAGATCATTGTCTTATACCAGTGTCTCTGTGCAGAGGACAGTGGTGAGTTCTGCTCATGCTTTGAGGACTTCTCTCCATTTTAATCTTAATTTCATGTCCCTTTTGGTGGTAGTTTTAGTCTTTTTTTGAACACTGCCTAATTCCAGTTTAGCATTGCTGTGTTCACACTGGCAAGCTTTGGCCAGGCATGCTCTAGAAAGGCTGTTGCAGGGCTACGCTAAGAAACTTGCTTAATTCTTCTTGCAAAATGAAATTAATAAAAAAGCCAAGAATGTAAGAGGGGAGAAATTGATGTTCTTACTTCTCTCCCTGTCATTAGTTCTTGGTTGTACAGTAAACACTGTATTATCTGATCTGTCTATTCTTTTTGAGGATGCCATCTTCCTGAAAAGAAGTGCAGTGGGATGCCTAAAGAATTAGAAGGGGATCCTGGAATGTGGGTTCAGTCACATGCTTTTTCATAGTGTCTATGTGATCTAGACACTGTGAATCATCCTGTTTGCATCCCTCAATTTTTGTTTTGCAGGCTGTAAATTAAAGGAAATTGTATTAATTCCCTTTTGAGATTAATATGAGAAGCCCTTTAGGTCAACTCCAAATGACTGTCATAAGGACTTGGGGTTGGTTTGTTCTCTTTCTAGCTCTGGTGTGAATTTGTAGTAGCTGTGATGACATCTGATTTACAGACCAAGTTACAGTAGTAACACTGATGTCTGATGATCTGTCCTTACAGATAGACTGTTCTTTAGCATAGCACAAGTGGATGACTTGTCCACAATCATGTAGTTGAACTGGAATGTAGGTTTCCATTACTGAACTACACATATTTCTGACGGTGGGTATAGAATTATAATCTCTCAGTATCTTCAAATGCGTTCATTAGAAAAAGATCCTCTCCCAGTGCCTTCCAGACCGGGAGAGGATCTTTTTCTAGTGAATGAGATAGAGGGCAGGGACCCCTGTGAGCAGCCTCTGCATGATACCCTCTCCCGGTAAACCAAGACCTTGGCTTCTGGCTCTGCATATGTGACAGAGTTGTGCCACATCGCTGGCATGCAGGAAACTTTCATGGCAGTAAAACATGTACCCAGGAACCAGCAGAGCAGAGATGAGGGCTGTCAGTGTTGAAATATATGCCAAAGGGTGTTCAGAGGGTATACTCTCACCTGATTTTGTATGCAGGGCAGAAACTGGCAATAAATTACTGCCTGTTTCCATCTGACTTAAAAATAATACAAGATATTGTAAACTGTTAGAAATTAAGAGAAGTATATTCCATAGAAAAAACAAATTGTAAGAATCCATTTGTATGAAGTGTGTGGGATGGAGCTGTTGTTTTGGGTTTTTTTAAGCTAAAATCAATGAGCAACTTAAAAAATATAAATGACCACCTTGCAAGAGAGGTACTTATGTGTGTAAGATGTTGCATAAGCACTGTGATATTTCTGGCAACTGCACGCAAGTGGAAAGAGTGTCGTTCCCTTATTGTTCATTAAAGTGACAGAACAAGTTCTGATTATCTTAACCAGACTGAACAGTGCAAAATTCATGATGCTGATTTTCCTGATATTGAATATATATATGTAACTAACATCAAGATGATACCTGGCATCAGTCTTACTTTTGGCTCCATAAAGTAGTCTTCCAGGAAGCAGAGAGCTTGGGATCCTTGACCACAGGGGGAGAAATGATCTGCCAGGCTACATTTATGACCTTTGTAAGAATAACTTTTTTTCAGAGGTGTATTGTAGAGGCCTTGACCATCTCATCTGCAAGAGCTGAAGAGGAAACTGGCTTCACTCTTGCATGAGTCTGTGTGCCCGCTCTCTGGAGTCTGTGATGAACTGTTGTATGGCCTGGTGCAGAGTGCCAATGGACTAGGAAGCTTCTTAGCATGCCCTTTATGTCTTGCTGTTTAATTACTGTTCTCAATTGCCTTGTAAAAAATAATCATTACAGGAGACTCTGAAAACAGCCAGAAGGAATGGCCTGTTGCCATTGGGCTTTTTAGCTGCACAAGAC